CCGAGGAACGCATCGGTGCTGAGCAAGAGTTCATCCAGTCTGGAGACGTGCCTCCGGCTCCTCCGCCTTCGCTGACTCCTTCGGTCGAGATGATGATGGGCACTGACACCGCCGTCGCTGTCACCATGGCTGTCCCCGGTGTGACCTCGGCTAATGTTGGTGGATCGTCTTCTTCCTCGAGCCTGAACTACCACAGTGGCAATACTAGCCCTGACTACCTAACCAACGTTCACCACGCTAATGGAAGAGTTGGACGTGGGGAGGGGGGCGAGACAGGAGGTTCCACTTGCAGTAAGTCCTTCTGCTACCTGTGAACAGCGCTATTGGTTTTGGAAGTTGTCCTGCTTTTTAGGTTATCCATTTTATATGCCGTCCCCTGTTCTAGAAAGCGAGGAGGAAGAAGACGAAGAATGTGACGTGAACAAATACAACAATGACTAATACCGATTATTGAAAAGCTGTGAAAAGAATGAAGCCTAATTAACGGGTCGTTATTGACCAATCTCTACTGCGCTCGCCAAAGCGTCTGCTCTAGCACCATGATGGTGTACCTTTTTCCATTATGTTTGTTCGTCGCCGTCTCAAAGCGCCTATCGCCTATCATCATCATCCTTGATTATTATTGACAAGAACGATTATATCAGTATCGCGCTCTCGGCGTTCCTATTGGAAGCCGTTTTGTTTGTCGAATACTGCTAATGCTATTCTTTGTGGTAACGCAGAAGCGTCTATCAGTGTAGTATCAAAAAACTGATCTGTAAATTCAAAATGATGCGCTACTTAGTGCATTTGGGGTAGTTGCATGACTTTCATAATATTATTGACGATTGGACGGCTTATGATTTTTATTTTAAAAGGAGGCGGAAGTCAAGCGTCCCCATTTTTAAAGAGGCCAAGTACACTGTATTTATGGTAACGAATGATGATGATGATTAATATGATTTATGTAATGATGATAGTAGTGCTGTCGATTATTATGATAATTGACGTAGTGTAATGGACGGTTATGATTTTTAATGATCCCTCTGGACCCTGTGCGGACTACTGAGGTTGATGCATGCCCGTTATAATGATGATGATGATACCACTGTGGTGGTGACTATCACTTTCTGTTGTGTTGCCGATACGTCGACAGTGGAGAAAGTGGGCACCTACGGGTTTGAGAAACTTGAGTGTTGCGAGGACTGATTAAATGGCTCCTCCACCTCTTCATGGGCTACAGTTGAAGTCCTTATCGACCGAGTCATTGCTAGGACCCGACACTAGTGATGAGGAGTAGGTCTTCACATGCTGTTCTTGTGTTAATTGTGGTCTATAGTAGAGAGAGCAGCGATCACAAACCGATGGCCTCAACCTTGCAGCGGTCCAAAGCAAGAACAGCATCAACTGTTGGTAGCATATCAGCCAACGGTGAGCACCTCTCCATCTGTCAATTCAGCAGTTGTGCCTTGCAGGAAACGACTCGGGTTTCAGGGAGGCTCTGGCTAGTTTGCAAAGAGCGATAGAGGAGAATACGGATTTGATGTCAACACAGTTGCGGCCGAATTCGAGGAGAAGTGGGTTCGGCTGAAATCTTGTAGAGTACTGTTGGTTTGTTGGCAGGCTCTATAGGAAGCCCTCGAGTACAGCCTAGCGCCGACCAGCAAGCTGAGTTGCTTGTTGAGAAGTATAAGGAGCGG